ACGCGTACAGCAGCAAGCTAGAAACTACTTGATCGTATTTGTGTGGTCCAACTGGGCACCTCGCGTCGTGGCTCATCCGCGGCTCTTAACCCACCTATTTTTATGTCTCTGCCGGCAGTGGCGAGATACGATGGTCAGTCTTTCCTGCGGATCTTGTGCGGACGCCGGCGCTCACACAAACACGATTACGGAGCGAGGATCCGCCGTACTAGTACACGTGTTTATGTTGACCAGAGGAGACTCAGCAAAAACATGCAAAAGTTGATCTCTCGCCAATGGTTACATTGGTTCGAAACGACGGCTGAGGCAGGGTACAAGAACGAGCTCTTGGATGCTGGGGCCCCACTGCTGTGTCTGCGGCGCGAAAAAGGGCGATGCCACTGCTGCTGCCTCGTGCAATTTAGTGTGGTACCTGGCTCCCGCGCTGTACCTTCCTCAGCGTACAGAGGACATGGCTAGGACTGGTTGACGTGACCAGCATTCAGAAATTCCCGACTGAACTAGTTTAACCAGCGGGGTACTCGAGTTTCGCTCGATCACAGTGGTCCGCCAGCCACTTTCGACTTTGTTCGCCCGCGCAAACGCACCCAGGAATATGTCGCACAAAGCGTCACCGGACGTCGCTCCGTTCATCCAGATTCTCTCGTCCATCGTCGAGAATGAGCCGCAAGCGCTGCGATGGCTCGACGACGGCCGCGCGTTCCAGATTCATGACATGGACTTGTTCACGACCGTTGTGTTGGCCAAATACTTTAAGCACAACAAGTACTCGAGCTTCCAGCGCCAACTCAACTACTTTGGCTTTAAAAAGTGGACCAAGCGCCGGTCGACAGTGTGCACGTTCTCCCACGAGTGCTTTGTTCGAGACTTCCCTGACCTCCGAGCATGCATCCTGCGCCAGCGGCAACGGGACCGCACGTATGATCCGCTCATGGAGCCGTGCCTTGACCTGACCTGTATCGAGCACGACATGGTCGTCGCATGTTTACAAGAATGCTTCTCATAATCGCTTCATTTTCATTTGTTTTTTCCATTTCCGCATGACGCCCATTCGACTGTCGATAGACTGACACAGGACGAAGCATTATGAGGCTGGCACGATCCCTTCCTCGCAATGAAAGGCACATCCCTGAGCCAAGGACGCTGAAAGAGCGGGATGATAGTCGCTGTCCTGATCGCTGTCCCACGCGACTGCCCCACGCGACTGCCCACATGTGTACCTTGGCTGGGTGACCCGCTAAACGCCCCCTCCATCTTTTTCACCGGAGCGACTTCCCAGCAATGATATGTCATGCTGACATATTGTCGACCGCTCGTGGAGGTTTTCTGTCCCGGAGAATTCGTGAACCTGGTGCAGTGGCAGTGTGAGAGTTGTGGCAGCCGACTCTATCCACCGCGATCGAGCACAGGTGACGTCGTGCGGCGACCCATGGATGCCGTCGGTGCAGCCCCCATACCCTCCTCCATGGGTGGTAGTGCTCCTGGCCAGTGGTGTAGTGCAGTACTGTAGTGGAGGTCGCTGGCGGCCTCTGCACTGTTTGGTCAAGCCAAGGCAGTCCAATGTGTATAAAGTTTGTAGTTGTTTCGAGGGTGGCGGTCACCACCAAACCTCCAAATCCAATGCCACGGGCGGTAAGCAATGCGCGAGGAGGTTGAAGTCCAACAACACGTCTAGGTCATCGTTCATGTCGCTGGACGTGCGGCTGCTCCGACTGCTTGAAAAAGCGGCAAGGCTGGCGTTGTGAGTACTGCCGTTGGTGGAGCTTCGTTTCCGCGTGATGAGCATGGCGAGGGCGGGGTCATGACGGCAAAAGTGAATGTTCGAGAACGTGCACACTTTGGACTGGCGCTTGGTCCACTTTTTAAAGTGAAAGTAGTTGAGTTGTCGCTGGAAACTGGCGTACTTGCGGTGCTTGAAGTACTTGGGCAAGACGGAGTGGGAGAACCGCGCCAGGTCAAGCACTTGGAATGCTTTGCTATCGGGCGTCCACCGCAGCACGTCGGGGTTCTCTGACTCGAGCATGATGCGTAGTGTGACAAGGAACGGCGCGGGGCTGGCCGACGATGGAACCGTCGACACGGGCATCGAGTGCAGCCGAGTCGCCATGGCCTCGTTCCTGCTTGCGCGAGTTTGAAAATGACCCAAGGGACACATCGCACGCCATTTGTTTGGATATAGTCCAACCGTTTCGAAATAGCACGGGCATCTTGGTGGCCGTCAAGTTGACGAGACAGCCGCGTCGAGCCAGACTCGCGCCAGCACGTGCTGCATCTGCGACGGTCGCAAGGCGACAGATCGCGCGCAAAGATAACAAGCCGAACTGCCGCACCACGTTCGTGGATGGAGGGCAACAGACGAGGCCATCAGACTCGACCTCGAGTGGGCTAGGATATCAGGTGCAGTAGCTCGCGCTTGCGAGAATCACTCGGCGAGTACCTCCTTGTACAGGTGCCACTTGTCCAAATGATACTATTTGACAAGTATGGCATGTGAAATAGATGGCCCACGACAAGCGTGATGCCACAGGTACGTACACTTGCCATAGGTACCAGCCGAATCAGCACGGAAGCCTGGTGCGGGATACGCATCGCGAGAATACATGGAAGATATATGTCGTCGATGTATATATTTGCGCCAGGATCGAGGGTCTTTCTTGGTTGCATGAGGGGTGCCCGCGCATGGACTCTGCATCGGGGATGGGTCGTCGTTCCAAGCGTTCGATGCCGGTGTCTTTCTCCCGGCGTGCTTTTCTGTTCAGTGCCATGGCCAGCTCGTGCACGGTATGCACAGGCTACACATGATCTGTTTGCGTGTTTTTCCACGCCGCGGTACGCGACTGAATGGAAGGCGCATGGTACAAGTTTGACGCCATGGTGACGTCTGAAAAGGCAATGGACCGCTGCAAGACGAACAGACAAGCTCACAGTTCCGGGTCGAGGCTGCTCTCGGGTTGGTGCATCCGTCCTCCCTGCATCAGCCTAGTTTTCAATTCAGGCAGCACATCCCCTTGTCAGAGCGTAACACGGCGCCGTTGCGTACGACTGTAGCAGGCTGGCACCGACCGCCGAGATCAAGTTTACCCGTTGCGAGGGACGACCCGCCGTGGCTCGACATGTCAGGCGAATCCATCGATAGCGTCCACAGGCCTCGTGACGTCGCATGCAATGGGTGGGGGGATGCCGCCCGACGTTTGAATCGTTCAGGGAGGGGGAGGATCATTTGCGGCGAAGGGACTGGAATGTATCGTTGCGGTGGGGTGCCACGTTGACGACGTCAGAACGGCGTCACCTGGACGACTTGTCCAAATACAAGCAGAGTGATTTCCTCGTCAATTTCGCTGATGGGTGCCACACAAATTCGCTGCGAGCATGGACAAAGACCCGACACGACATAAACACGCCGCGTGAGAGGTCTCCTCCGGCACCGAAACCACCTACTACTTTGAAATTCGAATGGACGCCACAGGTTCAACAGTCGAAGCTACCACGTCAGCGTTCTCCTCCACACTTGGTCAGCGCGCAACGGAGTCTGGCCATGGCATCGAAAGTGCAGTCTGTATACAGCTAGTATTAAATATTTGCACACGCAACCTCCACCATACGCGAACATCTAGAGCTCCATGACCGTCCATTCGTCGCGAAGCGCGCTTTGGCCTGCGGCGCATGTGTCGTCCATCCGCTCAAAGTACAAAAGCCACTCCATATCATCATCGGTCAGGAGATCGCAGTCATCGAAGGATGGAGAGCGCGACAAGGACGTGGTGCGGATGGCGTCGGAGATGGCAGCACTGCTATCTTTACGCGACCGTTTTCGCGTGATGCACAGGCTCAAGAGCGGGTTGTCGCGAGTGAAGTGCGGGTTCGAGAACGTGCACACATGGACGAGGCTCTTGGTCCACTTTTTAAAATGAAAGTAATTGAGCTGTCGTTGGAAACTCGAGTACTTGCTGTGCTTGAAGTAATGTGGCAGGACCGATGTCGAGAGGGCGTCCATGTCAACAATCTCAAACGCTAGCCCGTCCGGCGTCCACCGAATGATGTCGTCGCTCTCGGACGTGAGCAGCGTGCGCAAGGTGCGGAGGAATGGTGCCAACTCGCGCGTTCCTGCGCTGTCGTCGTCCGACGTGTGGTTGCTGGATGGGCTCATCGGGTGATGCGGCGACGTGAGGTGCATGCTCGAAATTGTAAAGTGTCGTGCTTCGTCGAACGCCGAGTCGTAGACTCTCGGCGGTCCCATTTTTGAGCGGCCGTTAGGTGGTGCGCCAGAGGCTGGCTACTTTGAAATCAGACTTAAAATGTTATGGCTCGAGTTGATTTAGCGCCGCGAGAGCGGATTTCGAAAGTTGAATGTGGCCACCTCGCAGTTGCACCCTCCATTCCATTTCGACAGAGGGATGTGGTCGAGCCCGTCGTGGGCCCAGAGTATCATAGCTCTTCAAACATGTATACAGCCCCGCAGTCGCCAGACCAAGATATGGAACGAGGGCCATCATTCCCTTTCTCGGGCCCACCACGAGCCCCCCGGCACGCTCGCATAGATGAGCAAATCCTTGGATGGCATCATGCGCAATCCACGCCAGGGCCAACTGCGTATAGAAACCCCGCGGCTCTGCACCGTACACGCCCGACACTGTGTGACTTCGGCACAGTTTGCCCACCAAGACGAGCGATGCAGCACGGCCCCAAACGGGAAAGAGTCCCAGCGAACGCGAATGTCGAGGCACGGCTCATGCCAGTGCGGCGAAGACGGGCACAGCTTTCCCAGCTTCCCCCCCGTTGTTTCTAGGCAGATCGCCGTTCAGCACATTGTGAGGCGCTGCCTGAATATCACCCATACGCCGTGATCCAACTTGGGATGTTAGTAGATGTTGGAGTATATCACCGAAACACATTTTATACAGCAAGAGCAACGAAACCAAGTGGAGTTTTTGTCGCAGCCACGGAAACCCAACCGTCGAACATCTTCAGCGTGCGCGCCACCAGATCAGCGTGACGAGTCCCGAGCATCCTTCACGAGGGCTCGATGCGACTGTCGCCATGCCAGCACTTCACGCAAAGAGGGAAGTGGCCCCCTGGTCCTTTTCGCAAGACGCCAATTTGGTTGATTCATAGTTTTGCATCTCCACAGTCGACGATCGGCTCGCCCGCAGGCGATGCATGGTCATCATGAGACTCGTCGTCGCGGCCACAGCATCCACCTCGCTCTCATACCGCGCGTGTCAAAATGTGCACCCACCAGCAACGTCAGGACAGATTGCCAACGTGTGATAATATGTTCGGATCACTAGTTCGTGGATGGCTGAGCCGAGAGCGCAGTCGAAATATTGCCACTGCGTGGCTGAGCAGAGAAACCATGCGCAGTATCATGACGTTATACCGATTCGCAGCGGCATGGAACGCCTCAACCGGCCCCCGATTGCGCGCTTCACCTGCATAACGTGGGACTTGGTGAATTGCCCTGGCATGGATCCCCACGATTCGAAATCGACTCGCACTATTTCTGTACCGAATGAGGGGGCTATGGGGGATGTCGGATGGTCGCTGCACGCGAGCTAGCGCATATGGTCGAGGCAATTTTCGATGTGGCGCCATGGCCATGCAGCAGCATGATGATGGTTTCGTCGCCGAAACGCGGTCACGGCGGCATCGACGCGCCGCGAAATACGCTGGCGGGAAGCACGTGAAAACGAGCCGTACGCGAGCCGAAACAGTGCTGCACCCGCCGTGAGTTCGCCTCGTCTGCGAGGCCGCCTCCACAACCACTCCATGCCGTACTCGTGGTGTAGATAATCACAATGGGTGGTGATGACCTGCGCAGTGAAACAGAATCCACTTCAACGTCGTGGGACATGGGCTCGTTGGAGTCGGTGGGGCGCGCTCCCATCCACATGAGTACCTTGCGAGAGTGTATAGTTGTGGGTGTGGCTTCCAAGGCAAACTCGAGCGCATGGATGAGTACGATGTTCTCGACCAGCACGACAACGGCTAGGTCAAGCTTGCTGTCTCGAAGGCGGGATAAATAAGCGCTACCGACGTCATAGTTTGCAGCGAAGTTACGAGATGGGACTGCACTCGATACCTCGTGCGGTAGGTGAGGCGTCAGCCCCATGAAATAAAGTGTCTGATCTCACATCTCCAGTCCCATCACCACAGATGGCGATCGCATCCCCTTGATTTGTAGCAGGCCACACCGAGACACTGACTCGTTTCACGAATCGCTGGGCACTTAGTCATGCCACGACTTACAAAGCTATCTTGTATCTTGCCCCATCCACATCTTCGTTCCATAGGGTAAACGTACGGGGCAGTGACATGGGTGTGGGGGGCTGCTCGTCCAGGATCACGACGCTGCTGTCGTCATCGGCGCACGTCTCGCTAGTCGGCCTCGGAAATGCGATTTGCACGAGAACCTTGCCGCACGCGCTGTACTGGTACCCGTGAAAAAATCGGTCGGACGAGTTTGTTCGCACAAACAGCATGGCAGTGACGCCGCAGATCACGACCACGAGCATCGTCTGGCTTTGCTGGTACAACGTTTCAACCGTGACGAGACCGGATGCTGCGGCCGTCGCGTACCCCACAACGACGCCCCCCAGAGAATAGCTGGTCAAGATCAGGCCGTAAATCGTGCCAGAATGGTACACGCCAAACATGTCGGTGATGAAGCAAGGCATGATGGCGAGGCCCCCGCCAGACGCGAATGTGACGACGCTGGCCAGCCATTGGACTCGTTTCGGGTCGTGCCAGTCGTGGATTACAAGAGCAAACGCGCCGATTTGGATGGACAAGAGCCCCGTAAACACAATCTTTCGCATGAACGCTGGGTTGGAATAAAGTAAACGCACGAGGCCGTCCGAGATGAACGGGGCTAGGAACCGCCCCAGCGTGTTGCCGACTACATTTGCAAGTGTGGGGCTGAGATACGAATGTAAGCAAGTGTACCAAACGCTTGGATGAGCACAGCGTTGACTTCGCTCGGTGGCAAGCGCCACACACCCGCCGCCAGAGCAACAATTTGCGGTACAAAGACGAGGAGCGGGATCATGTTGGCCGCAAACGCCACGTACAGAAACAAAAAGTCCGTCGACAGGATGCACTGCAGCAACGTCATCGCCCGCACTTGCTGAAAGTAGAGGCCATCCGTGCCTTCCAGCTCGCTGTGGACGGCCGAAAAGTTCACCAAAGTCATGCCTATGACGTTTGTTCGAACCGATCGAGTACGCTGTCGCTTTCCTTACCCACTTTCAGGTACTCGTCTTGGACGATTCGGGGGTCGGGCGCCATGTTGACGGGGACGCAGTGGACATCCTGGCCGTTCATGGAGAACGACATGGGCGGTGTGCGGATAACCAGAGTGCACAGGACGAACATCGGCACAATTGCCACCCCTACGAGCTATGATCATCCATGTCGACGGGGGCCAGCGTTGTGGCGGAAGTGGGGAAGCTACCTGTGGACCAAAACAAGTTGGAGACTCCGTCGATATCCATCGTGGGGGCATAGATCGATTGGCGATGTAGGAGTCGTGAGTACGCCAGGCTGCACATACCGTTCCCAAGACCAAAGCCCAACAGGCACAAGCCACTGGCGAGGCCACGCAGGTCTGGAAACCACTTCTGAACCGTTGAAATTGTTGTGATGATGGCAATGCCATAGCCCATGCCGCAGAGGCAGCTGTAACTACAAAGACCACACCAACCGCGTCACTCTTCTAGGCGCCATTCAGGTGAACCACTGTACCCGAACGCGAGAAGCATCGAGTTGCCGATGACGACGGCAAGCTGCGACACAAAAAAGCCGACGGTGAGCAGAATGGTTGCCATTGCCATTCCGACGCGGGGGCCCCTGCGTTCGAGCATCGGTCCAAGCAGGGCGGCAGTAACTCCCATGAATATATACGCCTTCAGCACGATCAGGTACGACTGCTTGGAGGGCTTCCCATAAAAGTACATGTCGAGTGCGTCCGAAATAAAGACGAATGCGTAGAGGGAGCCGCAGCAAAACTGGGTCCCAAAACAAACTCCAAAAACGTGCCACCTCGAGAACGAAATCATGTTGATGCGGGCGTAGTCGGTCGTGCTGACAGGGAATACGATGAGCCATCGCTCGGCTATGAGTTGGTTGACTGACTTGGACGGCACCACAATCGACCAGTAGTTGAGCAAGCACGACATGACGATAGGTGCAAGAGATTTAAACACTGCTACAATTGTTTTCTTGGTTTGAAAACGTCGGGGGAGATCGGGGGCTCTTGGAGAAGTCTCTACGTATTCTCAGGAACTTCCCACGGCGACCGAGTAATCTCTGTCTCGACGGGATGTTTCGACCTTGACTTAATAAAGCAAGTCTGTGCCATGCGCGAAACTCAACCAACAGCTTCCCTTGGCAGCCTCCACGATGACAATTCGATGACATGACGCCCGAGCGATTCAGTTGGGGGTAAAAAACGGTCAGATTGAAGTGTCGTCCACCTCAAACGTCGACATGTTTGATGAGGTCGCCAGCAAAAGATTTCGAACCCAATTCTAGTCACGTGGCTCCATTCTTGGCACATCGACTCCACAGGTTCCATCTGCCATAATTGGTTTACACGATGCCGAGGCCATCGACGACTCCTCCAACACTAACCGCATGTACGAGTCTTCACTCTTACGCGGTCCCTCCTCATTGACTCCACGCATCCCACAAAGCAACGTTGCGGGACAAATGAAGTTGACATGTCGAAAGTGGACATATCCGAAACTTTCCACCCCGTGCGGTGCGCATGGAAACTGACATGCCCTGCATGATGATGATGAACACTGCGCTTTTTCTCGGTGTCTTCCAAGACTCTGCATTGGGTCAAATTGACGTGTTATCGACGTTGTATTGTTAAACGTCATGATTATTTAAGTAAAACCTAACATGATTGACGTTAAAACCAATCTCAACTTAGTTTTACCACATGGCAACAGGTAAAACCTCCATGAATGCAAATAACGTTGCACTGCAGAAAATTGAACGAAAACAAACACATTAAGTTATCATCTGGACCTGCCCATACAAATAGACTCTAAAACATGGTTGACTATTCAAAATCGCGCCAGGTCTCTCGCAATGACGCGTCCTTTTACGAAAAGCTATCAATTCACAATTCATATCGTTGTGTCCATGCAAGGCACAATGTTGTCGTATTTAGCTGACTTACACAATACCACAAGACATCGCGAGAATGTGCTGGTAATTCATTGTTCAATTTGCATTTATTATGATACGTTGTTTACACAAACATCGTCATTTTGTCTCGTTTCTTTACTACATTTGGAGCGCACCGTGGACATTAGATAGCAACAATCGACGGAGGGGCCGATCGCAGCCCCCTTTTAAAAAGCTAGCCTCCACTGCATGGCTTTCTTGCTACTTGACGGTTGAGACGCGCTCCCGAGCGGTCTCCATGACTGACATGCTTCCTTCGTCCAGATGGATGCCACCTCCGCCAAGTCGAACGACGACCTTGCCGCACAGGCTTAATTGATACCCAACGTAGAACCGGTCCATGGTGTTTGTACGCACGATGAGCGATGCTGCCCACCCGACAGCCACAAGAATCAAGAGCGCGTTGAACTGGTGGCCAAGCGACTCTGGCGTGACTTGGAAAGCGTGGAAGGCATACCCCACGACCACAGAACGAAGGGACCAGCAAGTCAGCGCAAGTCCACACATTGTTGCGGTGTGGTACACCCCAAACATGTCGGTGATAAAGCACGGAAGGAGGGCGAAGCCACCACCAGAGCAAAATACGACCACGATTACCACGACACTGGTCGACTCGAATGTCATTGTGGCACGGTCCGAGACGAATCCAAAGGCGACGAGTTGGGCTGTCAAAAGCGCCACAAACACTGCTTTGCGTGCAAAGGCTGGGTTTGTATAAAAGACTCGGATGAGGAGGTCCGAGATGGCGGGGCAAACCAGGCGACCGATCGAGTTGGCCACTATGGCAGAACGTGAATGACTTGGTTGAACAGTTGGACGTACCGAATCCTTGTAAGACGAGGTGGTTGGCGGCACTGCTGGACTGACTGAACACGCCCGCCGCGATGTCGTACACTTCGCTCGCAAAGAGCATACCAGGGATCGAGTTGGCGGCGAACGCAATAAACAGGCAGGCAAAATCCAGCGACGTGATGCACTGAAGCAATGTCATGGCCTTCACTTGCTGGAAGTAGCGGACATCGGTCATCGCGTCATGGGGCTCTTGGAGCAGATTAAAATTGACCAGAGTCATCCCTTCAAAGGTCCCCCGTGAGAAGCCGTTAAGGGGGACGGTTTTAGCAACACCTGCTTTCAGGAATTCGTCGTGAATGACGTCGTGACGGGGGGCACGGCTCACAGGAATGCAATGAATATCTTGTCCATTCACTTCAAATGTGGGAGGCGGCGTTCGCACCACTGCTGCACACACTGCCAGCACACCCACGAGTCCAATACCTATGAGGGCAGGCTGGTGAATGGGCTTCGCAGGCTAGAGGGCTGCGGGGGGATAGCTCCTGTACAAACCTGAACTCCAAAACACGTGCGGGATAGCAGTAATGTCTTGAACAGGATCGTACGGACCGATGCGCTTCAACAGCCACGTGTAGAAAAGTGTGAAGCCAGTGAACCCAAGGCCGAGACCGAACATGCACAATCCGCTGGCGAGACCACGGCAGTCGGGAAACCACTTTTGCACGCCGCTCGTGAGGGCTATGAGCACGACGCCAAAGCCAGTCCCGCTAAACGCACTGAACCTGTACCCAACGAACGGAATCGACACTGTTTACACGACGAGTCCACGTACCCAATGGTCAAGACGATCGGGCTTCGACCGACGACGGCCATCTGTGATAGAAAGTACCCCGTTGCAACAAGACTCGTCCCAACGGCGAGGCTCGTTCGCGGCGGGTGGTTTTCAACGAAGGGCCCGATGAATGCAGCGCTGAACCCGAAAAATACAAACGAGAGCAGCATCGTTTGGATGGTGTCGCCAGTGTGGTGGCTGTAAAAGTGCACGTCGAGGCCATCCACAAGTGTGTTGAACGCCAAGAACGAGCCAACGCAGACGTGACCAAAGATGGACATGACCAGGAGCCGCCACCGAGTGAAGCGGACGCATGAAGATGTGATGAAGTCGTTGGGTCCCCACGGGACCACAAACAGCCATTCTTCTGCAGACAACTCCGCCGTCGATTTGACGGGGACAAAGATTCGCCAGTAGTTGGCGATACAAGACATGGCAAGGAATTCCAAATGAAAAACGACAAGATTGATTTGAACTGCATTTCTGCAGCAGCCTGTCTGACCGTCCGAGATGGTGAGATCCATCGAGGCGAGACTAGTTGAGTTCTTGGAAAGGTCGTTCAGAGTTTCGTCTGTTGAAATGCCCGCTCACGGAGTGCCTTCCTTTGCGAAAGTGTTGGATGCGCTGGTGACGTTTCATTTGAGTTGGCTACCAAGCACAACCGTTCGAGTTCATGCTGGGAAGTTGCACAGCGGGGCAGAACTCTCTCCGACTCCTGACGCAGGTGCATCAAGTGGGCAACCCCCCAGTGCATTGAGTAATCGTATATCCCTAACAATCCATCACGAACGGCAAGTAAGAAATTGATGCGGTAGAGCCACCTGCGTACTGCTGTCAATTGTTTCGATTTCCGCCCATTCACAGCCAAGTACAAATGGCTCACAACATGCACAATCATTTGAGTGCACTCTGGCAGCCAAATCACGCCGCACCACCCAGTAACAAGACTTTGATGCAGAGCGATTCGCTCTCACGACCAAGAACCTGAACCACTCGCAACGAATGCTTGATATCCCTGGTGCTACCTCGATCGCACCGATTGCATCGCCCTCCCTGAACTGGACCATAACCAAGTCGTTGGTGGCTTTGCTCCAGCCCATATAACGTCAGAAAAAATTGAATGCGCGTCACTTGCAGTGCTCGTGGCAGCGATGGTGACCGCAGCTGCCTCCGTTGACGGCATCCATACCATAGACCACCTGCAAGCAGCATGTCCCCGTGATTTGAAGCAGGACGACGCCTAAGCGCAGGTTATCGTTATGCCCAGCCGATTCGTCGTTGAAGATTCGGGGTTGCATGCTAGGAAAGGACCAAACTTTCAATATTATGAGCCTAAGCAGGCGAGCTACGTTAAGCGAAAAATTTCTTTGAACTAGTGTTTGCTTTGCGCCAGAACGAAACACCAGACTCTTCACGCCTAACGTGATGTTGCCTCAGCCGCAAGAACTCTGGCGCAAGTCAAGGCAGAGTCGCTCAAGTACATGCGGATTTTTGTGTTGCCGTGGGGTTGGAGACGACCTCTCGTGTATCACCAGCAACATGTCGACATCCCCCTCCAGAACTTCCCCCAGACTACAACGCGAGTCGCATTGGCGTACATGTTGTCAAGACTCTGGCTCAATTCTCTATCTGCGGGGGATGGACTGCTCTTGGCAGAGAACCCACAGTAGTTGGCGGCGAGGTACGATAAGGGCCAGAAACAAAGTCATCTTGGGTTGACATGTACGAGGATCGGGCAACTTTATTTCGCAAGGACGATCTCGTTCGATCTTTTCGCAGCGCGAACTTCCCATTCGTTTCAGTCGCAAAATGAACACTACACTTGGTCCTGTAGTGTGTCCAGTGGGTTTTCGAGTGGCGAGTGCACGCTCGAACGCCGCGACGACATGAAGGCTCTCCTCGTGAGCGGCTTGAGTTACGACATCGAGAGGGATCATGCGTCATCTTGCAGTGCATGGGTAGGTGGCCGTGGTGTCCATTCGCTGCTCCCAGAGCAACTCCAACTCGGGCTTGTTCCAAGAGTGGAGACAGGGGATGAGATATCGGAGGGCGGGGAGCGGCCTGGATCGTTTCTGTTGGGCCAAGGAAACCAAATTTGGTTTCACATAGACTAGACAACTCTCGTGTCTGCTCTGTCGTACGCGATTATGGGTCACTGGACGTTCGATATCCATGGCAATATTTCAGACAAGTACCCAAAGTGAAAAGATGAACGTGTGTGCGTGCATCCATATTGCATCAATCTAGTTCAAGGGATAGATGTAAGTGAAGCCACGTGAAGTTCAGCCTTCCAGACATAGCCTTCCCCCTCGGCGAAGAGAGTATGCTTCGGCATGTCAGTCTCATTCAAACTCGACAAGCGCATATCGTAGATGAGACCGGTGGCCAGACATAGTGGTCGAATGGCCCTCGTTGCAGATGTCGATGCCCCCTCGCTGCCCTCCTTCGACCACTCTACGAGCTCGAGTTGCTTGTGGTAGCCCCATTGTTTGTACTTTTGAAGAAGTGCTCCAAACGCATCGTAGCCGTGTGAATGACACGAATACCCTCGCGTCGACACCATGGTCGACATCGCACGACTTTCTACTTTTATCACTGCAGACTTGCATGAGGTCGCGTGTGGATCTCTTTTCAACTGTCGACATGGCGAAAATGCGCGGCGATGGGTGTATTGTGTGGAGCTCCTGCCATGCTGCCATTCACCTCGCAAACGTGATGCACCTGACCTTGCACTTGGATGTCTGGCAGTTTTCCAATGTATTTTACTCGCATTGACAGTGCATGGCACCATGTTTCAGACTTAGGATAGTATCTCCCCTGAATCTGCACCAATTTTGACCAAATCTTGATCTATGTGTAGCGTTT